CTTCTGAAGAAAAGCAGCCATCAGATCCCCGGATGAGGCCGCAAGCTCCGGTTTGGTTGCGCGTGCCAACAGACCCAGAACAAAGATCTCGACTGTCGTCCGCGAGGTATTGTGTGATGAGACACCATTCATAGAGGCACTGTGGCTATAGAGGGAGACATCAATCGATAGGGCGTCGCAGTCTGCCTGATACATAGGAACCCAGCTCTCATAATTTGCGTGTAGCCACTGGTCGAGGAGCGAAATCAGCTCCGTAGGCGCAATCGCATTCTTGCGGACAATCATCTCAAGGGAAGCGAAGGAAGCTTTGAGGCGAGCACGAGGTTCACCAAGCAGGATACTGGGAATCGTGAGCTCGATAATCTTCTTTTGAAGGGAGCTCCTATCAAATTGCCTGCGAGTCTTCGCCAGGAGCAGAACCAAGGACTCCATGACCTGCTTCATTGGCTTGGGCTTGGCATCCTTGTATCGAGTCATGAAGACATCGAAGACAGACAACCAGGTCTCGTCAGAATGGACGATTTGCCTTGTGGACTCATGCTTAGAAACAAGAGCTGCATCTAGAAAGGCGCTGAGCGCATTACAAGCTGCCGTGGTATGGGAATGCGACAGAGAAGCGGTTGCATAAGTGTCTAGTAGATTATGATAGACCCGGTTCACTTTCCTTTTGAGGATGTTAGGAGATTATCACACAAAGATAGACAACGCTCTTGAACCAAGAAAGCACACAATGAACGCAATGGTGGATGAGATGAACAGAGGTCTTACTCGGAGTCATCACATGCCCGGGTGAAATTCACTAAGGCACCCTTGCCGATTTGCTTGAGGGTCTCTTCCGGCAAGATTTGCATATGCTGTGCGATGGGCTCCATCTCTATGAATGCCGCCTCCATTCGGGCCGCAGAATTGGGTTTCCCTTCCATGAGCTGTGTCTTACAGAGATCGCATGTCCAGGCAATTGCGACGACGACTCCGACAAAAAACGAAATCCAGTCCAATTAAAGATCTTTTATCAATCCCCGCGTTCCTGAGCGAATGACTTTTTGCCTCTTGGTGGATTTTCGAGAGCGGGTCTCCCAAAGAGGCCTAGTGTCGGGAGAACCATATTCCTTTTGCCGCCGCGCATCGCCGGAGGAAGGCGGTGGAAGGCGGTTGAAAGGTTGGTTAGCAGAATTCCGTCACGCCGAGTCACGGGGCTGAAGTTTTTGTTCTCCGAGAAGAGACCTTGACAAACCCGCAAGTTCCATTTGAACTGTCAGAAGCTCAGTCCAAGTTCTTCCTCTTCCTCGCGACAAGACCTCCCCCTACTCAGCAAAGCGCCTGCTGGCCACAGATCCCCGTTTCCTTTTCCTTCCTCTTTCCTCCTTCTTTACTTCATTCTCTGTATTCTTTATAATATATCCCATCCCTCCCCAAACATGTCTATCTGGGATTCGCTCAGTGGTCGCAAACAGGACAAGGGTCCCGGCGCCTTCGATCCTACCAGCGCGCAAGATGCCACTTCTTTCCTCTCCGAAATCGCCATTCCCGATCCTACTCAGCTTCATCCCCTTGCTGGCTTGAACCAAGATACCCTCGACTACATCTCCCTCGAAGACTCCGCCCTCGACCAGCTCCCCGGTGACCGTTCGGTGCTGCCCTCCCGCGGATGGTCGGACGATCTCTGTTACGGAACCGGAACTACTTATCTTGCTGGATTGACAATCGGAGGTGCATGGGGTTTGGCTGAGGGCCTCAAGAAGACGCCGGTATCGGCACCCCCGAAGATCCGCCTCAACGGTGTCCTGAACTCGATCACGAGAAGAGGTCCCTTCCTCGGTAACTCCGCCGGTGTGGTGGCCATGGTATACAACGGCTTCAACTCAGGTCTGGGATACGCACGTGGCAAGCACGACGCGGCCAACAGCATTGTCGCTGGTGCTCTGAGTGGAATGGTCTTCAAGAGTACCCGGGGCCTGAAGCCCATGCTGATCTCCGGCGGCATCGTCGCGGGTATCGCGGGATCTTGGGCTGTACGTGTCAATCGTCCTAGTTTCGCAGTTTTGCTCACAATCGCTAACGGTTTCTCTCATAGGTGGCGCGCAAGGCATTCCTGTAAATGTCTCTAAATCAGTCGATTCAGTTGTATTTTAGCACTCGAACTCGAGACGACGACCTTGATCCGATCATGCGTTCGAGAACCCATATGATGTGTATGGCCTGTTTCACCAAAGCGGGAGAGGTTGATTTGTTGCTTCACTTCGACATGTTCACGTTGTATTAGAACGGTTTCTTTTCTTTTCTTTTCTTTTCTTTTTCCTTCGCCCCCAATTCTCTCGTCTTACAGATCTCTTCCCTCTGGCGCACAAAGCATCTTATTCGCATTCTCCATGGTTTTGGACCGGCATGGAAATGGATTTTTGTTTCGTTAACTCTCTGTACATATAACGGACTTCTGGGTTTGTGGTTCTTGCGGGCGAAACTGTTGCAGGTTTCATTTTCGTCATCTCAAGCAACCTTAATGTTAGTTCACACAATAAAAAGCATGGGACTAATAGCGACTTCAGATCAGGTTTGCGCTTACGAGTTCAAGTTGGAAGTAGGATTGTCTTTTTGGGGAGTCGCATAGCAGTGACAGTCGCTACGCTCTAGGGTCGCATGAGGTGCAAACCGAGCATTGCATTGGGATACTTGTAGTTTGCCTGCACTACCGGACTGCGGCATATCCGAGCTCGTCCTGTCGACGGATGCCTCAGGCTACATGACGGAAAGCAGGCGTGGGAACCAACAGCCTCAAATTAACTTGTGCTTCAAACCACAATCGCCTGTGACACGCTACAGTCATTGTCACCGCTTCTAAGATCTCAGAGACTTGAGCAGAATCTTGACATGCCTTCACCCTGCGCATACCAGAGTGGATTCCAATGCCGAGACCATTCAAGAGATGATATCTACACCAATTGCACGTCATCTTGGAACTCAAAACGGGGAGATTTATGGCTTGTGCTGGTATTTCTTCGTATCTCAAACTGCGGCTCTTCGTCACTTGGACATTGTGGCTTAAAGTCCGGTGATGACAGCGAGGTTGAGCTTCTAATTGTTTACGATACCTCGACCACTGTAGCTTTTCTGTGCTTTGATACATCCTTCTGTGATCTACACCACCCTTAGAGCTGAACTATCTATTAGAGCTATTGTAGTCCTACCTATGACCTCTTGAAAGATAAATTGAAGATATAATAACTTGAGTATATATCAACACTACCTTCGATGTGCTTCTAAAGCTAGCGTTGCTGATATGTATACTTGCATCTCGAAATAGGCTTCTTGCCCCCACAAGAAAGATACCTAACATTACTATCAGTATAGGACTGATTCCGAATGCTTCTGCTCAGAGCGCTTCTATAGATGAATACATCTTGTTATCAACACTATATTGTTATCAAGTATAAAGGTTGTTATGTAGCGACGCCGTATCACTTCTAGACGGCCGACTTGAATAACAACTTCTTGTACTTCAAAAGTGACTTTTGTCAACCTCGAGTCCAAGACGCTAAAGTCTTTTATGTCAAGGCCAGATGTACAGACCTTGAAGAAGCGTGCCTCTTTCAAGTCACAACTCAGCCTACTCAAGCATAGCCTTATTTAGTTTGTTGAGAGCGATATGACCTGCCCAGATGTTAGAGACTAAGAGATGGGAAGAAAACTGTTAGAGGGAGAAGATGGGCTTGGACTGGATATTTGAGGACGTGTGGATAAGAGACAAGGATAAGTAAAGAAGAACAGAAGGTTATAGTGTCGAGGTGGAGGCATGCGAAATGGACACGCTACTGAGCCTCGGCAGTTCATTCACACAAGTTATATATTTAACCCAATACAAAATTTTCCTTTTTGTCTCCATGACTTGCACTCGCTGGACTTATAGCTGCTAGACCAGAACTCACAATCCTAGACAGCATCTAGAAGTATGATTCACCATGTAGGATTCACCCATGCTAGTGGGTATATGAGACCAACTCGGACTGACCTTTCATCGGCTGCGCAGACTTGCTTTTTGGGTCAGTGCGACTCTCGGGTGGAACCTCCCTTCCTTATGTCTATACCTGGATTCAATTGAGAAAATCGAAGCAAAAGTCTCCAGCGCTGGATTATAGTAGTCTGCAAAGTATAGGCCTCATGTTCATAATACACATATAGTAAGGCGAGCTATACTATGCGTGCCGCACGGTGGCGTTTGCTAGCCGCGGAAGCGTCCGTTCGGCTGTCCCAGTCGTCAGTAGTAAAGCTGACAACATCGCCCCAGAACAGAAGCAAATGAACACAGGCATAATCTGTTCGATGTGACTGTAAATAATCTAGGTTGATTTAGCAGGAGCTTGACATTTTAAATAGGGAATGGTAGGTCCTGACGGTACAGCGTGTACCTGGTTCGATCTGATAAACGTCCAAGGCTTGGCATGGGGGCTTGAGAGGAGTTACTCTTTTGGGAAACTCCACAGGCTGCCCCCGGAAGCCGAAGTCAGGGTCCACGATGGCTGTGTTTCGGCCTGTTTTCTCCGCTGCTCGTGTCAACAGGCAGCAATTGGCGCTTCCGTAACAGACTTGGTTGAAGGAATCACCAATTGCTTCTTCTGGTGATCAATTCGAGGTATGTCTTAGCCAAGCCTCCAGTGAAAACTCTATGCCAAGCTGTTGTGTGCCACTTGTGCCTATATTTGGTATGGTGGATAAAGAACTGATACGAAGAACCAGTCCAGTTCCTCCCTGGAAATTGCAGAACAGGCATCTGGTTTGTTTGGACATGGCGAAGGTCCATTTTCAAGAAGAATAGGGTTGCCTGACAATAAGGCCATGGACAGGCTTTCAAGCCATAACGAACTGCGGGCGCCTGGCTGTGGTGACAGTCACATCATGATCCGATGGACATGGACGCCTCATTACTGAATGTGCAAGCCATATGGAGGTAGATGTTTCAACCGGCCATTGCCTACATCTAGAGACTTTAGGCTTCTCAATCGATCAATATCAACCAAGGCTGTCAGTGTAACGTACATTCCCCCAGCGTTGGTCGATCGCCAGCATTCAAGATGCCCTAAGTGGGCCGCCCTTGGCCGTGGAGCCTGTGAGGCTATGAGGCCACTACTCCGCACCTTGGACCCTGATCCATCCTCGCAGTACTCCTGGTGCCGGATGGCGCTTGACCCCGTCCCAATCCTTCATTTGCTGGACCATGAACTGGAAACCCCTGTTATAAGACCAGCCATGGCAGTCGCTCGAAGGGTTTCCCCATCTCACCACGATGGGTCTTATAAGACTTACAAGTTTGCTCTTCACATATGTGTCTTCGCGCCGATTGACGTTCCTCGCCTTAGTCATTGCGGCCTGGCTCCTTTGTTCTCGCCTTCCTGGTCTTGACCTCTATGCGAACCAACAGGTGGTCAGGGATCACGGTCGAGGCGAAAATGGGAGTCGATTCCTATATGTTTCACCCTTTCGACGCAATCCGGACCTGGAGTATGAGAGACAGCTCGCCAACGCTCTGCAGGAGCTAGAACACACGGTGCTAGATCAGGAGGGAGGAAACATTGTGGCGGAAGACAGGATATGGCAGATAGCCAAGGACGAAAGCCAACGAGGACCGGATTCGGCTTATCTTCAGGAGAGAAATCCTGGCTGGGGGTACACTGTAAGTACTCCGTCAAGCCTCACGTTCATATGTATTGTATCCAGCTAAAGTTATGCCTCTCAGTTGATGAGCGATGCGAAGGCATCCAAATTTGTCGCTGAAAAGTTCTCCGCTGTCCCCGAAATTGCCCAGATCTACGAGTCGTATCCCTATCACGTCCTCCGAGCCGACCTTCTCCGCTACCTTCTCCTCTATTATTACGGGGGCTTCTATGCCGACATGGACATCTACCCAGCGCGAGCCATCAGCGAATGTCCAGCTCTACAATCGATACCCAAACCTTCAAGGGATGCCTCAATAAACTCAGTCAACGTGTCGCTTGTGGTAGGAGTTGAACTGGACGAGCCCTATGCCTCCCCGCAAACCATGCGCTATTGGCGCTGGACTCGAAGCTACGGACTGATCCAGTATACGATGTACGCCCCGCGCCGATTCAGCCCTCTGCTCCGAGAGATCATCGTTCGATGCTTGTCGCACACCCGGCAATACTACCGCCAGCACAGTGGACTTCTTAACAGATTCAGCTATGACAAGAACGCCATTCTGGGGATCACGGGCCCGGATGTTCTCACAGACGCGATTCTCGACGCCCTCTCCTCATCGCTCCCCGGCTCCCATCCGTTGGTCCAGAAGTCTGTGGGCATGGATCAGAATACCGGCGATTTGGTAGCCTCTGCTGGCAAGATGGAGAGAAGAGTCACCTGGGCGCCCTTCCATGATCTTCATGAGCCTCTGTGCGTTGATGCCAGCGAGGCCATCCCCGAGACGCCTATGGGAGGGCTTTGCGTGGTGCCGATCAGTGTGTGGGGGAACGGGCAGCGACACAGCAAGGCCGAGGGTTTCAACAGTCCACATGCTTGTCTGAACCATCGGTTCGGAGGGTCTTGGAAGAAGGGTTGGCGCGAACGGTTGTTCGGATGATAGAACGACCCAAACACAGGCTTGATCCAACAGCGCTCATGATGAAAATGTATTAAGAATCAACAATGAACAAAATCTTCCTGCGTATCCAACAACTTGAGCAGCGAGTAATCGACATAATTCGCATCATGCTACCCACAAGCCCATAGGCTTTTTATTTTTGTTCAAGCCAGCGGTGTATGTACCCGCAGACACCTGCTCATACATCGTCACTTCCTTGAACCTAGATCCAGCAAGACCATTGTAGATGAGGACTTTCATGTGCTCGGGATTATTCCATGGGGAACTGGGGACCGTACCCAGGCGGCTGTCGAGCCTCGGTGTTTATGACCGCGTTGCCGGCTGCTATGACGGGGCGGAGGGCAGCAGGTTGGTGGAGCGTATCTGTATATCCAATACGCACAGCCTATTGGAGCATGCATGACCACAAGCTCGGTGGCTATGGAAGCTTCTATGAAAGTTACCCATCGGACCACATCGCGGCTGAACAATGACGATGCCACATCCGCGTTGCGATGCTTGTTCAATCTGGCGAGTCTCTCGGTATATAGCTACGACCGATACCACTTGACACAAATCGTAAAGCCCAACCCAACAGTCAATCCGGCAAGAGCTCCCTCCAGAAACCCTCTGTTTGCGATACTATTTGCTTGCGGAGACTATAACGATCAGTCCACTCGTCACATTAGAAAAGGGTAGACGGCGTACCTGTGGCGCATGGCCACTCTCAATGGCCGGCTCGAGAGGTAGCTCTGGCTCATATTCCACCTCATCATTCCTCCCAAGCTCCTTGTGGTATTCCCAAAGCTGCCGGATTTTCTCGTGCACAAACTCCTCCCGTCGCATGTGCATCTCTGGCGATGTGGTTACATCATGAACCCTGTGGGCGATGCTTGATCTCGGGCCCCAGCAATATTCATCGAGTAGATCCCAATATATGAGATCAACAGAGGCTCCCATGTGCAATGCCAACGTGAACCACGCAGATCTGTCTTCGAGCGACCGGCGCATTCGACCTGACAGGCGGTCTTCTGATTCAATCAAGCCCTGAGTCCGTTCTCGCTCTTCCAGTGCTTCCAAGAATATGTTCGCTTTCGGGAGAAAGGATTCCAAGAAGGCATCGGGTCCGTCTTCGTTGACTAGCGAATGAGGCCGGCGCAAGAGTAACCACGATGGAATGCTGGCTGCGAATTGAGAAGGCGCCGCGTAGGTGAATTCCCAGTCCAAGACGCCCACAATCCGCAGTGAGTCGTCTACGAGGACATTGCCAGGGCAGAGATCATCGCAAAACAGCTTGAAGGGGCCGCAGCCGTCCTCGGGGATAAAGTTCAGAGCGATGGCCTTCATCAACTGTCGGCAGGCATATTTCTCCCTGCAGTCTTGGGAGTCGTACACACTATTGCGCTGTTGTTCGAGGTGAGTTGACTGCAATTCCAAGAGTGAAGCGATGTAGTCGATAGATGTATGGAAGGTTCTTTGTGGTGTGCAGTCCTTCAATCCACTTGTCCGCATCAACTCGTTCAGCTCCCTAGTCAGGGGTCGCCCATCAACAATCGTCTTCCCCAGGTTGTCTTCACTGATGCTGCCGATCTTACTGAAGTCGAGTCCCCAGAGCTGCAGCAGTACCTCTGCCATTTCTCCATACAGGATCTTGAGCGTCTCTGGGTCGATAGCGGGATCCAGAACGTCATGCTTGTCGGAGAGATCGTCTTGTCTTAGTATGTCCGACATCTTCTTGCCGTCGATCCAGGTCATCATAATAAAAGGACCCAGGCCAGTTGGATTCTCGTCGCTCGTGCCATAAGTGATGACGCGCGGCACAGGAATCGTGGTCTCTCTCGCGATGTATTTCATCACGAACGCCTCCCCACGAACCTTCTCATCCAGAAACATGGATTTCCCAGGGAGTGGGAATCGAATCAACCAGTCCTCATCCTGATCGTCCCAGTTAAGTCGGAAGCTGAAGTTGAAAGACCCGCAATGCATGGAACGTAGCATACAGTCATCCCGTTGTCGATAGCGATTCGCGAGTTGGCAGATTCCGGCCCCTGATTTGGAAGCCAGTTTGATCCATTCATGTCTCCGATTGTCGAGAGCGGCGAGTTTGATATCGTCGAAGTCCATGATGTCTCAGTCAAACTTAACCACTACGAGAATTCAAGAAGTTTCCAATAGGAGCAGTCGCGTCCAATTGGCAGGAGGCTAGTTGCCCCGGATTTTGACATATCCCGGGCCGTGCCTTGCATTCGTCACCTGATCCCTCAGGTCTAATGATTTTTGGTTTGCTGTCCACTCCTTCGAGACTCCGTAGTGTTGCCCCATGCTCTGTCTGTTCGTCGTTCTGTAGATTGGATGTCATTGTGGTAAGGTATCAATGAAAGCTGCTCGATGTTTTAATCTGCCTTCACACCACAGTATGGAATTGCCCGCTTTCACAAGTCAGGTTGAGATGGTTCGAGAAGTGAGAAGTGATCTGACTGAGGGAGAGGTGGAGAACTTGGCGCCTCTGTTGTCCGATGGTTTTGGAGAGTAGGAGGGGACAGGAAATGCGAGTCGCCTCTGGGTATTTATCATGCAGCTACCCCACTTTGGACATGGAATATAACCTGGGCTCCGCCATGCCGCCCTGCAACCGAGATTGGTTGATGTGTTGTAAGTGATGCGCCTCTTATAAAGGTTATAAAGGTAGCATGCAAGTGCACTGCGGCAACTGACTCAGCCTCGATGAATACTTGAGCCATCCCAACACTGGGACTTCGAGCACAGTGTCCAAATTTTTCTTGTCACCTGCATGGAGGCCTCTACATTTGCTATATCGACTACTATTTCTCTTCATGCGAGAACATGAGTCCTCAAAAGGTGGTGGTAGATGCGTAGACAACGAACCATTCATGGTATGCCATTACCGGCTCGCCGATATTCTTGAATCTCCTGGTTCCACCGCAGGATACGCTCAGCAGAGACCCCACGGTGTCTAGGCTCCTCAATTGGCTCATCGCCTCGATAATCGAACTGGTCAATAATCCATGGATGCATCTGAAGTCGACGAACGCTTTCGATGTTCGCTTTACCTTCATCGAGCCAAATGCCGTCGTCGTAGCCTCTATGCCAGTTAAATAAGCGCGATGTTGCAAACCCCGATTGCTCATCAGCAGTATACCGTTCAGGATGAGGCGTGCTTAATGGTCAGTAGAATATCAATAGTATTTAATCAGTCGTTGCACTCACTCATTGCTTTGACCCGCAGGACAAGAATGACAGAGACCGTCAGCCTTCACAACCTCAAGGTCATGCTGCGAGCCTGCCGGAATTCTTTCTCCCGAGTCTAATAACCAATGGTTTCTCCAAGAAAGAGGCACGTGCATGTGTTCAAGGTGCGCCCTTACTTCCAGGCTGAGATTATGAACCGGCGTTGTACTGAAAGGAGGTGCGGGCGACCATGGCACGAACAAATCGGGCCGGCAGAAGTAGGAAGTCCGAAACTCATTCGCTCTGGCTATAATGGTTTCTTCTGAGTCACGTACACTGTACGCTATCTGAAGCAAGGATTGGATTGTATTGGTCCAGAAGGCGGCAACTAGACATATAGGCGGGAGACTGTGAAGACTCAAATTCAGGAACGAGGTTGCCGGGCCGTTGCACACTGCAGCAGCCTATAGAAGACTCAATTGAGGTTTCTTGTTGGTGATTGCAGAGAGTAACTGTCGATTATCGATTTCCTCCATTGTGGAGAGAGCTTTTCTCACTCCCAAAGATGCGGCCCCAAACAAATTACATGGAACACATGGGTCGAAAAAGGCGCTGCAGAGCAATGAATCCAGAGCATCCTGTGTTGAGCTCAGAGAGATACAACTCTCGACAGATTTAAACAATTCAAAGAGCATCGTACCTTTTGCACTTGGCGGAGAGTGCATAGGGACTGCCGGAATCATTGTAGGAGGAGCGAGTTTAGGGGGAGGCGCGTGCCGTGAGGTTGAAATTAAAACACAAGCAAACCCGGTGAGAAACTCTCCTTCCAGGCCGTTTGATGCGCAGAAGTCTAGAAGAGTGCTGAATGCGAAGAAAGAATTTGGTATAGCGAGTTTCCAATCACGTCTAGAAGGCTTATTAGAGCCGATGAAAGCCACGATTTACACGGTGAATATACCGCTTGCGTGAGGTCCCTTCTCTTCTAAACATCCAAAGCGCCTTTCTGATTTTCAACTCGGGCCTTCCATCAGTCCTGCGTGACGATGTCCCAAAAGGATTCTTCGATCTGCATGCCTTGATCATGCAGGATTTGGCTTTTCTCGCCTGCCCGTTGTAATATCTCCACCCAACGGCAGGAGATGATGTATGACCAGGCCAGAACAATGCTTGTAAGGAATCCAGAGCGAAGAGGCCTGGCACAAGTAGGAATAGATACTTCTGGTTGGGTCTCAGCTTTCGTCCTGTAAAATACAGGTGCGGGGCTTCCGAAGCACTGGAGATAATCGATGAACTTGTGATCTTGCTCGCAGTTCGAGTCTTCTGTCGTTTCTCACTTGCAGAGAAGACTTCAGAACAAGGAAAGATTTTGCTCTTCCTGACAGTTGGACAGCCCCTGGGGGACAGGCATAGAACGAGGGGACATCTTTGAGGAGGTCTAAGAAAGCTGTTATGTAGTAATGGAAAGACTCTGTGCCTTCTAGGCGTGTAGATGCGGCGTTCTGCCAGTCGTCGATCTTTGACTGGCAGCAATGGTTGAAATGTGCTGCTGTCGGGCAGACCCCGTCACCTGGGGACCAAGTCACGTCGCTGTCATTACTTGATTCATCACTGTCATCGAATGGATTTGCGCTTAAAATATTCCTTTGCTGGTTCCAAGATGCTAGCAGTCAATTGAAGTCCCGAGTCGCCGATTTCCATCATAACAGCGGAGCTTTAAATGCCATAGAGGGAGCTGTCCTCGAAGGGTGTATAGGTGAAGGGATGACTTGAACCGCAGGAGGAAACAATGAGACCTACCACGGCGGGACAGGCGGTGAGAGGAAAAGGTTCAAGCAAACGGGTGAGATACAATCTCTACAGACCTACCTCGTCTTGGATGACTTAACCAGCACTTATGATTCGCGTATGAATTGATAAATCATAGGTTCGAATTCAACCGAGTTCGTGGTTAAAATTAAATTCCGTAGACATTCCGTAGACGGATATAGTATCCGCCGGGAAGGGAGATTGTACTCGACCTACTACACGATTTATCGCCAACTAAAAGTACATCAGGTACACACTTTAGGAGGCCGAAATCAGCGCCCTCCCTCCAAGACAATTACAGCAAATAGTCTCCCGAAGCGCTCAATTGTTTCTACGTTTGATGGAGGGGAAGGAGATCATTGCATAACGCACGGTCCAAGATGACTTCAGACGTCTCCAAACCATTTCTGACGGAGTCGTTCCATAGCCAGTTCTTCAGGCATTGCCTCCAGAAACTTGTCAATCTCATGGACCCAGAAGGAGTTCTGGGGGTTGACCTGGTAGGCAGAAGTGTATTCCCAATATGACGGGTACCAACCAGCAGTCTCCCAGTCAATGATTCCGACGATATCGTCTTCGCGAACAAGAATATTAAGGCTGCTGAGGTCACCATGAGTAAAGGCCAACGGCCAAGATTTGCTTTGTTGTTGTTTGATGAGTTCCTGGGCATCAACGTGAAGTCTAGGACTAAACTCCAATCCCATGCGTAAATGACGATGAAAGTCCTGAATTGTGGCAAAGGGCCCGAAATCCAAAGAAGGGCCTGGTATACGGCAGTCATGTAACGATCCACCATCCACTGAAGCAACCCCCATGCCTTCGGGGGGCCGGAGATCCCGCATCTCGCGGATCATTCTTGCTAGAGCTGAGAGAAGCTTGGCTTTTGGTTCCTCACTTCGTCTTACCCAGCCGTTGCCAATGATATCTCCTTTGATCCTTTCCATCACAATGTACGTCACTCCAGAACGTGTGAATGCACAGAAGATCTTTGGAACCGGGATGGATGTATTTTGCGAGATGAATCGCAGTGTTGACGCTTCGGCCAACTGCACGCGGCGACTATACTTAATGCATATCCCACCCGTCAGCATGAGGACATTCCCTTCTTGGGTTCGAAACCTTTTGATGATCTTGATCGCTAGACGTGTCAAGCACCGATTGAAAAGGTTAGAGTTGACTTGACTGGATGCGCCGAAGGGAGCGGCGGACGGCGAGGAGGGAGGCCCCTTTTGAGTTGACGGCATTGCGAATCGCCAGAGGGGAACCGCTGAATGAGTTTAATGTACTTAGTAAGGGGCTTATGATAGCTGGAACATATAGTGTGTTGTCTCAAAGTAGACGTTCTCTGAGAAAGTAATTGGTGAATACTGATGCAAATTCGCTCTTACTCGTGCTGGATGTCCTCGACCTCCTGCACGTGATTCCACCTGTATCCCCACCGTATTGAGAAGGAATAATAATACTAGACTCGGGACGGACTTCTACTACTCAAGGTCGTTGAATGTCATTCATGACGACATATGACCTGTTGAAGCCAAATAATATATCATAGATGGCTCACCTCTATACCAATTGTAGAGGGATTTAGGTGACGCCTTCAGACATTCGCATTCACCTGTTCTTCATCGATGAGGTCTATTATAGGGCCATTTGCTTGTCGCCGCTGCAGTGGTCACTCTTACAGCACCTTCCCGCGTCCAGCATGAGCCGAAGGCAGCATTGAACAGGTCCCTTGCTAGCAGCGGATAGGTTATCGGCAGATGGCCTAATTTTCTCCTACCTGCAACAGGGTCTCGCGCCATGAGTTGGCTGTTTGCAACTGCCATTATTTAATGCATGTGCAAGAAGATGAAGGTAAATAGTTCACAATCTTGAAAGAAATATCAAGGAAGTCAGAGCTGCAATGAGCAACCAACAAGCTGTACACTAACAAGCTCTCGACCCATTGATTGATCACGCACCATCCGGCTATAACAGTATACAATACAACAACACAAAAGACAATACCATCATTCCCAATCTGCCTGGTATCCTCCACCCCATCCTCATCATCAAATCAACCCCTCCCCCATCTCCAAAAAATACACCACCCATCTACCCAAGCCACTCTCCCCTTACAACAATCCACCCCCAACAACCCCAGCAACCAACAGCGCAATCACGCCCACAGCCTTCTTACTCACACCAACAGCCACATTCCCCCCACTAGTCGAGCTGCTCGACGCACTCGACCCCGTCGCGGTTCCGGAGCTCTTGCCCTTCTTGGTGGAGGAAGACGACGTCGCCGACGCCGTCGCCACGATGGTACCGGCCCCAGTGGCGGGGACGGTGCCCGTGGCGGTCGCATTGGCGCCGGTGTTGCACCAGACCTCGCCGGCCTCGGAGGCCTTAATGAGGCACTCGGCCAGGGTGTGGACGGTCTGGCCCTGGGCGAGACAGTAGTAGTCGCAGCTGCTGTAGGAGACGACGTCGGCGGCGCCGCAGCAGCTGCTCATGATGGCGGAGTTGTTGCCGGTGCTGGGCATGGCGCAGGCGGCGTCCTTGATGGGGATCTCGTAGAGCTGCTGGTGGCAGGTCGAGGTGGCGGAGGCCGCGGTCGTGGTGGCGGTGGTTGTGAGGGACATTTTTCTCGAATGAAAGAATGGGAGTCTCGATTGTTGTCTTGTGGAATGATGATTGGACTCTAAGATAGGTAGGTATAGAATGAACGAATGTGTGAATTGAATGAATCAGTTGGTTGAACGATTGTGGAGTGGTCTGGTCAGGGTTATTCAGGTTTACGCAGGGTACTTATAAGGAAGAGAGGGCTCTGTGCAGCTGCCTGGATTCCAGACCAGGGACTGCTGGAGAGTCCTTAGCCATGGATTGATGGCTAAGCGGAAGATTACTGGCAGGGAGGGGGCTGACCGCTACGACTGGCCCCCTGATGGACACACATGCCTGCCTACACTCCACTGGGAGACCCGCTGCCTGGTCCCTTGGACCAGTGGCCGCCAGGGTGTATCCATTTCTGCTAATTATGGGTCGGCGATTCCAGCCGATCCCGTCTCAATGCAGTTGGCTGGTTTTTTAGTCGAGGACTATAGGTTGTCTGATGGCTGTGCCGGAGCTACTTCATGTCCTTGGGGCAACCATACAAGTATTATCAGATAGGCAGGTTTCAGATGACGCGTCGTTTGCTTCGATCGATGAGCATTGACAATTATCTTGTCCGTATTCAATAGCTAGTTGAGCATGCAGGGACAGGGCATATGGCTACCGGTCAGGCGTAGCCTCATTCAGGAACATGTACACGGCTTCGAAGGCGCCAGCGTCTTGATCTACGCCGTAGGGTCTGCAGCCTGAAATTCAGGAACGGTGTCGAAGCAATCTGTCGACAAACACGCTCTCCTCGATCAACGAGAATGTGCCATTGACGCTCATGATCCGTCGGAAGAATCCGCCATGCATGGCACACTACTCCGACAGGTTACGGCCTGTTTAGCAGCAGAAGCCACCTCACAAACAGGAAGGAATAGCGAGCCGGGCTTCTTGGCATCAAAGCTTTTCTTCCTTGCCAAGATATCGAGGATATGACTTTTCCCAGATCCCCTAGTCTAGGATCTGTGGTTGTCGGGTGAGGCGACAGACCCGGACATGGCCTTCGCTTAGCATCTGCCAAGAGGTATAGCCTGGCATAGCCCGGTGTTGCCTTTGGCTATTGATATCGACGGGACATAGCCACCATGAAGTTGAGACTTTGTCTGGCTTTAAATAGATTCGTTGATCTGTCTTCGAATAGTGGTGTGGTGTGAGAGATGAGAGCGGGTCTGGCGGTTAAGGATTGAAGACGGGGTCGATGAAAGGTCGATCCAAGGCCCAGGTGGAGAGGCCGGGTAAAGTTTATTCAGACCGATGCAGCATGGATGCATCTTTCCATGGTCCGACACTTATGGGACGGGACACATTGTTTGCGTTAGTCGAGTTATCTGGAGTGTATCAACGTCTACCTTAGTAATTGATTGTCTAGAATAGCAATAAAATCCTGTATGGTTTCTGCTGCATCGAATTGCTGGTATCGTTCACTCAAGCCACTTCCCTGCTACACATAACAAAGGAACCCAGCAATTTATTCAAGCTTTTCACCACAGGGGAGCATAAAGTCTCCAATGGTAAAGGCAGGACTAAATGACATGCACACAGCATACCATCTCGACGACAGTATACCCATTCAGCGACAAAAGCTTGGCCAATTTTCTTCAAGAAAAACTGCTCTTATCACACGGAGTATGTCTGTCAACGAAGCAGCTGTCAATGGCAGTCATGCACTGCGAGAGCCATGCTCCCTGGAAATTTACGGGTGCTCCAGGGCAACGTATAAGGCTTATCCGGCCGGCCATTGCATGTGTCAAAACAAGACGTCATGCAGACACGGATGACCACATGGCCATCTCACTTGAGTCAAACTATTCGAGCGCAATTTCTCCATCCAGACATGCAATGTGTGAGGCTGTCGGTCGAAGGCGGCCGGCTGGCTGGCTTGGACTAGGTCACAAACGCTAAGCATTTTCCAGTCCCACCCGCCGGCGATGATCTGCAATACCCTCCCACATTCCATCCAGCACAATGGCGACAGACCTCCGAGGCACGGATAACTCGTGCTTAAACGTAAGCTCTGCGAATGCGACAATCTCACCGACTATGTGAGCCAGAATCCCATCATGAAAGTGCGGTGACCAAGCCCATCTGCTCCATTCTTCAGCTCGTATCGATTGGGATCGCTTCGAAGCTTAGTCCCCTCCGCACGAACGCCTCGAGCCCATGTGGTTCCCCCGATTGGAACCAACATTACCCGCTAATGCTTGTCAGGACATAGTCTTGAATGATGTGAGCAAGGTGGAGAAAGTCGGAAACATGTTGCGTAGAAGAAGCCCAGCGAACTGTCCAGCTAAATACCCCTCGATGCGCATTCGGTCACTTATTCTGTGTTGACCTGAAATCCTCCCGCCCATCGCACTTGGACCGCCGTACAATCGCAACAAACATGCTCAAACATACACTCACCTCTCTGGCCCTCTTCGCGGCAGGAGCCTTCACGGCCACAACCAGTCCCGGCTACTCATGGGACATCCCTTCGACCGTCAGCGGGGACTCACTCTCGTTTGGAGAACATTACGCGGTGTTAAATCTCGATCTGATCGATATTGTGGTCTCATATGTGAACACTACTACCGCGGGAGCGAGCTGGATCAATAACACGGCGCGGTGGATTGACGCGTAAGTTGCACTTTTTCCATGGGCTATCTCGAGCACTGTGCAGCGTGTAGGCGAAGCTGACAGCCAACAGCGTTCACCAGCAGTCGCCCCCACCATTGAGCATCTTCACCCGAATCTACTTCGCCAACACGCAGCGACCCGAAATCAGCGCCAACGACCCTTTTGCAGAGGCCGTGTCCCTTCTGGGCAACATCACCGAGTCGAGCCCCGCGGGACAGATCTACCCTGCTTTCCGGCCGCTGGATAACTGGGACGTGGTGTTGCAGAAGGTGCGGTACTACGCCGGTGCAGGCAACTCGCTAGAGGAGATTCTCGCGAGCCAGAAGATCGACACGGTGATTCTGGTGAGTGGCCCCGAAAGGAAATCGATCGGAGGGGTGGACCTTCCCTATTCTAGCGCTCCGGCTAGTGCTTCATTAGTGCTTGTGGTGCCGGATCGACCATGATTTTTCTGTTTTGTTTTGTTGGTTCGATCGGGTAGAACTAACGCGTTGGTCCGATTTTCTAGTCTGGGATTCGCACGTCGGGGGTGGTGTTGAACACCGCTCTTCGTCTATTTGATCTCAATTACAAGGTGTAAGTCTGCTTGCGTTCTGCGTCGGGTGACGCTGGATGACTGATTGCCTTCTCTCTAGATATGTTATTTCGAACAATACCATCGAAACACCCTCGACCTACGCGTCCCAGATTCAGCAGACGATCCTGCAGGGCATCCTGCCCGCCAATCCTATCGACGTCATCACGATCGAGCAGGCCATCGCCGCGTTGAATCGGTCGGGTCCGGCTGTATACTAGTTCCGACTCATTTTGTATCGGCGGACGGCTAATGGGGTTAGGCGTCTAGTGGCATACACTGTATACAACAGAGCAGACATGGTTTTAGACGATGCTCGATGATTCCATATAGTAATCTGAGTCTAGACCGGAGGCTTCTCCTCCAGGGTATTTGTAGGAGACATCACGACATTCGGAAATATGCATAGACGGCGTGATAATAAAAGCAGTCCAAGGTACTCCGTAATTTCCCGGAAAAGGGGGGAAGCTCAACCAAGAAAAGAATCAGAATAAGGAGAAAAAGAAAGAAAAAAAAGCAAGCCACAATGCGTGATGCATGCAGTGTCATCACCAGGGGAATAAATAGCCGAAATCACGGCAGTGGCCCTGTGCTACCAGATCGTGCAGAATAATTCCAAGATACTCCGTAGACATCCTGACTCGCGTACAGTGAGACTTCCTCTTTTGAATATTACAAATGCATCATGACGCGACTTCCGATGGCTATGAAGATATGAGACTTTAACTAAAGGCAAGGATGATATCAATCGTGGTCTGACTTCCGGCACAGCCTACAGTAGACAGTAACTGGGACAGTACGGTTGTTGGCGCCCCAGGCCTCGACCGAAGCTTATCGCTGATAAGCCCGGTTGGGACTGTATTCTGGATCTGTCTGGTCCGCGCAATCTTTAGCGCAAAGCGCAATTCGAGGTTCGGGGTCGTCTCTCGCCATTCTACACGATAGAAATGACCCTGTGGGAAGGGTCTAAACTCCGAAGGGATCCAGTCGATGGTGTATGATTTTATCCAAGTATGGTTAGTCACCTACTCCATTTGCACTACTCCGTAGTCGAGTCAACAAGCAAAGTTACCATGCCCTGACTGCCTACTATAAGGACTCCGAAGGGTAGCGGGACATCATCCGCCCTAATTTTTGAGCCCTCATACAGGGAGGGTTCTTTCTTCCCGAATGCTTGCAAGAAGTCATTTCATTCCATTACTATCAATTCCACTTTCGTATTTATTAACACTAGCTAAGCATCTCCCAGATGCCCTTCTCCAGCCACCCGTTTACAACAATGCTAGACAGGTCGTTCGTAAGTAATACCCCCCAACCTGGAACCACAACACCCAGACTCCAACCCATCCCAGATCCAAACCAAGCCTGGTTACCTATTTCATCACCGCATAAACCTCCAACGCATCATGCAACCGCCCAAAGACACCCCCATGCCACCCCTTGATCAACGCCCACTCCTCCTCGGGCAGCATGACACTGAACATGCGCAACCACGCGCCGACCAAGAAATCCGCATAACACGCGCGATGCCCCAACACAAACGGGCCGCCCTCTGGTGTCTGCCCGAATAACTTGGCCAACTCCCCCAGCGTCTTTTCGAGCGAGGTGATCAAGTTCTGGCGATACTCGCCCTCGCACTTGAAGTCCTCCCAGCTCGACACCGGCGCGCCCGCCAGCACCGCCCGCCGCACGAACTCCGCCTTGGCCGCCGCCTCGGTGGCCGGGTCGAAGGGAAACCCCTGCACGGTCAGCTGGACGTGCGCCGTGAACGCCGCGTCGACGTGCACGTTGAACCTGGCGTACGCGGCCAGCGCCGGGTGGTTCTTGGCGTTGCACTCGGAGAGCGGAACGATGGGCGGCGGGTCGAGCGGGAAGGTGTAGTCCAGGGGTTGCGCGGGGAAGAGGTCGCCGTCGCCGGCGGTTGGGTAGGTGGTTTGCAGGTGGGTGGCGATGTCGAAGGAGTCCCCCAGGAGGGCGGAGGTGTTGGGGTCGTGGAGGATCGGGAGCGTGTAGAAGTCG